GCCAAATGGACGATGTTCTCATCCATGGAGCCAACCAAGAAGAACATGACAGACGAGTGAGAGCCACATTGCATCGTCTACAAGAGGTTGGCATAACCCTCAACATTGAAAAATGCCAGTTTTTCAAAACCTTGGTGAAATTCCTAGGTTCTATCATTGATGAACAGGGAATACATGCTGACCCAACAAAGACGAAAGCCATATCAGAGTTTCCACCTCCCCAAAATGTAAAGGACTTGCAACGCTTTATGGGGATGGTTAACCATTTGGGGAAGTTTGTCCCCCAGCTGGCTGAGAAGAGCGAGCCCCTGCGACAGCTGTTATGCAAAGACACTACATAGCTATGGACAGACCCCCAGCAGAGAGCCTTTGACCAGATTAAAACAACCCTTACATCAGCCGAAGTCTTAGCATGTTATGACCCCAGTCGACCAACCATCATCGCAGCTGATGCCTCCCTAAACGGTATCGGTGCAGTCCTCCTTCAGTTACAAGATGATGGGACCCATAGACCCATAAGCTATGCATCGCGATCACTCAGTGATGCTGAAAAACGCTATGCTGTTATAGAGAAAGAGGCACTAGCAGGAGTCTGGGCATGTGAGAAGTGCAGTGAATATGTTGTGGGCATGAGTTTTGTCCTAGAGACTGACCACAAGCTCTATTCAACACCACTGAGCTGTCCAAGACCCCACCGCGTATCCAGCGGTTTTGCCTTCGGTTGATGAGATTCAGCGTCACTGTCAACCATGTCAAGGGGAAACACCACTTTACAAAGGATGCCCTCTCCATATTCACTTGATATCAATGAAATACAAATTTTTCGCTGGGGTAAGTAATCAAAGTGCTCTGTGAGCAAACTCGTGAACTGGAACATGATTTTTTAGACTATGTTTAATGTTATCTGGTTTAGGGAATTTTGTGGTTGATGGTCATATCTAGAGTACGAGCAGTAGTTCAGTGTTCGCTAATGTAGCAAAGAAACAAAGTAACGTTGGGATAAGAAGGCATTACAATTGAAATGATCATGCTATTACATTTGACAAGGTGGATGATGTCATGTGTTTTAAACGTCTATCATTTTTGTTTCTGGTTCAAAAGAAAAGGTTGGAAGTAAATGTGGGTGAAAAGTGAAATTTATTGTCTTTCGTTGTAAATATTAGAAAATCAAGGCAATACTTTCTTAATGAAAACATTAACGATTCCCTCTTTATCAAATGAGACAAACGGGAATGAGTTTTGAGTGATATAACTAAGCCAAGCCTGCCACCGTCATTTTGGATCTCCTCCTGGGTAGATTTAAGTCACGTGCTAGGCAACATATAATCAATAACAAGATAGAATTTCATTTCAGGCCTATTTATCAATTTTGTGGTGTGTAACTTTGGCATTTTAGTACGTTGTATGTATGTTGAATCTTCAAATTGTCTTGAAACTTAAAAGAAAATTGTTCTTAAAAAATTCACTGAAAATCGGTAGCTAAAATTGTTTGTGTAGGTGTTCTTTGATTTTCGTGTTAACTTGTTATTTTGTCAGTTGCCCGCATCTTTTGTTGCTTCACACAGGAAAAACACACGCGACGAAACGTAATGATCAATTTTGTCCTCAATCTCAAGCCATAACAGAAAAAGCTTTTGAACATCTGTACTCTAACATCTGTAACTCTGAGCGCTTCGCTGTAAGTGATATTTTCAATGAATCTTCGGATTGTTTTCAAGTTCAAGGATTGTAAATTACAATTCTATGAAAAACGAAGGTTGTTCTGTTATTTCAGTGTGAATCCTTGCATGCCTGCCAGTCACTGTCACCGCTTGTTGAAACTAAAACGAAAAAAAAAAACTTTTTTAAGATTATCGTTGGCTTCTTTTTCACCCCACCACTATTCTTAGCAACAAAGGTCGCCATTTCGTCTGTTTATTGCTCGCCAAAAACTATCAAATGCACTCAAAAGCCTAAAATCTAAAAAGAGTTTACAGGAATCGACCAATCGAGTGAGCAAGCGAGCGAGCAAGCGAGCGAGCGAGCGAATGGCATTCCCCACATCATGCATGCGCGCAATTCACGAGTTAAAAAGGATGAGCACTTTGTAGAGGAGGTGGAAAGCTTCGCAGCCCAAAAAGTGTTCACACTTCCGGCAACTACACAGCGCCTGTCACAGGTACGAGAGGCCCAAATCACAGATGAAGAATGCGTGCAAATCAGGAACTACTGCAGCCAAGGATGGCCAGCGTATATGCCAAACCAACCCTTGCTACGCCCCTACGGGGAAAACAGAACCCATTTCAGCATTGTTGATGACCTGCCTCTCTGTGATGAGCACCTAGTGATTCCTAAGTCAATGAGACCTGAGATACTCAAATGCATTCATACTGGTCATCTTGGCATATCCAAGTGCCGAGCTAGAGCATGAGCATCGGTATGGTGGCCGGGGCTCCCTATGCAGATTGAAAACATGGTGACAAATTGTAGCACCTGCGCCAAAGATCGCCCTGAGCCCACAGAACCACTCATGTCAAGCTCTTTCCCCTCCCGACCATGGGAGAGATTAGCTGCTGACCTCTTTGAACTTGCGGGAAAGGTCTATTTGATTGTTGTTGATTACTACTCAAGGTGGTTCGAGATCGGGAGACTAAACGACCTATCATCTTCCAGAGTCATTTCAGTCCTAAAAGAACTATTTTCTACAGATGGTATACCGGACATTATTGTATAAGATAATGGCCCACAATTCAGCTCTGATGCATTTCGCCTGTTTACCACTGAGTACGACTTTATTCACGTGACAAGCTCACCAAAATACCCAAGAGCCAATGGGGAAGTCGAAAGGGCGGTCCGCACGGTCAAAGCACTGCTCCGCAAGAATGAAGACCCATATCCAGCCCTCCTTGCTTACCGATCTACACCATTGCAGAATGGTTTTTTAATCAAAAAAAGTTGCTCATGGGGTGCCGCCTACCAACTAAAGTTCCTGCCATGCCAAGCATCCTCAAACCTAATGTGCAAGATACAGACCGGCAAAGAGTGCAACTTAGAGAGGACGAATACAGGTCAAAGCAACAGATCTACCATGACAAACGACACGAAGCCCGTGCTCTCCCATCATTGACCACTGGCCAGCAAGTTTGGGTGCGAGACCAGAACCGGGAAGGTCAGATCTTGGGAGCCACAAAACAACCAAGGTCCTACTTAGTGAAGACTGAGATGAGCACTCTGCAACGTAACCGGTCCGCTCTAGTCCCAACCAGTTCACAACCAGCCTTTCTCACTGAGGGGCCAACTATGGTACCTCAGGATAAAGCACTGCCCGTGAACCACACGCCTCCAAGGGTTTCTACCCCCGTCTCAGAGAACCAACCGGCTGAACCTACAACGCCTACTACTTGTAGATCAACAACAGCTGCGTCAACCCAAGGAGGCCCTCCAAATGGTGACCGCTCTACAACCGAGTGTGTGACACGCTCAGGACAAATAGTGAAACCACCACAACGGCTAGACCTGTGAACTTTTAGCTATGCAAACTGGCATTAACTTTTTGTATTAGTATTGTTACATTCTTGTTGAGTTTACTGAACTGTGTACACAAGGTTACACTCAAACTTTGGGGGGAGATGTTGGATTAGTTCCTTATTACATCAGACTTCCAGTGTTCTAGTTAGCAAGGCCCCGTTGCAGGTTGGGGGCCATGTGCTTTGATGTTCGGCCATCTTGTATGTACTTCATCTGTGTATGGAATAAATCTTTACTTTGAAGCCTAAATATTACACCAATTACACTGGTTTTTGGAAAGTCAACATCAAGCATCTTAATCTCAGTGTGTTTTGCAATTGGAAATTTGCCAATCTCATCAAATTTTTGCTGCTAGAATGGGATGGAATGTTACTAAAGATCATGAAATTAAAAGCACCCTGCAAGTAGAATCAAATGTGATGGCTTGTATGATTGTGGGGAATCACATGACAAACCTTTCCTGAGAAGTGCAGAGTGTTTCATCTTGAAAACATTTCGAACCGCTAGATATCCAATGTATACCAGTGCGTCAACATCTATTCAACATAATTGAAGTGGATCTACTTAAATAAAATGGTGATAAACAAATACCAAGTTTCCTTGATGCATAGAAGAACAAAATAAATGAATGAAAATTATATTAATAAAGAATGAGATGATTGTCCCTACATATACATGAGTTGGAACAAAAACTTGGCATTGAAAATGGGATGGATACAACCCAATCCATCGAAGAAAAACAAGTATGGACTTGGACCGAATCTGATTCGACAAACATACACAGAGGATGGTCAAACTGCCACTTGTTAGTACTTAACTTTTTAACCCATACACTGTATTCATAAATGGCCACTACACAGAGTGGCCTGGATTCAGGAACATGGAAACGAAATTGGAAAGGCCTCAGGAAAATCAACAAAAAAGAAATGATGGCGTTGCTCTTAGTTGGCAGAAAACAACATTATTCTCACTGAGAATGACATACCCAGCGTTTCCTTGGCTGGGAGAAACCTTCACCCTTAAAGAATGAAGAATTGAAGTTTTGGTTAAGATGTTGAAGTGATTCACTTAAGGGACTCAAGACTTAAGTGTGCCTTGTGAAATGGTGAGCACACATAAACATGTGGTTGTGGAAATCTTACATCGACAATCTTTGTTTTTATCATAGACTCCAAGAATATATCAGATTTCCTCTTTTCAAACCAAAGATTGTTTTTATTTTTTCCTTCAGTTTCTCTCTCCGTTTCATCTATCTCTTCTTGAGTGATTGTTAAGCTGGAAACATAGGAATCAACCATAGATTTAAAGTGCTCAGTAGCAATATCGTAACTGTCTGTAAAAGGCACAGACTATGGTGCCTCGTTTGTCTCTTCAGGGTCTGACTCCTCTACACAGTTTGACTTGATGTCATGGAACAAAAAAAATGAACTGGCAGGGAGACAATTTTGAAGACTTTCACTTAAAATCTTGAAACCGTTTTCCTCTCTTGTTCGTTGATTGGGTGATCTTGGATCAAATTTTATAACCTTCGACTGAAGACGAATATTTTTCCTACCAAATCGTATCTTTCTGATTAGCACTTGGTCAAGAGGTTTAGCTGCAATGCTTTGGTTGCGGGCTACAACCCACACAGACAGCCAGCCACAATGTGCATGACAAAGGCTCGGCATGCCTTTCTAATCCCCTTCTTGTAAAATCTTCAATCGCAAACAACACTCCTCCAACGTGGTTACATTTACCTTTTCCAGATAAACCAAGTCCAGCCGGACACGTGCATGCCGCTCGCAAAATATCGCTCTGCGGTGAAAGCTCCACAACAACTCTGTAGGGATTTTTTTTCATTGATGGCACTACACTGGCTTTCACGTAGGTCTGACCTTGAAAGATTTTGCTTTCCAGTTGTTTCACATTTCCTTCAAAGAAAAATTGGTATTATTATAACTTTTTGTAGTGTGTGCCCTTCAACAAAATATGGCAGTACTTGCGTGTTGACACCACAAGGTAATTGTAGAGCTGAATGAAGTTCAGTTCTGGAAGCTGTTGCAAGTCTGTTGACCATCCAAGAGCAGAGATTCGTCTCATTGTTTCATCATATTTGAAATGGCCACTGTTTTAACCACAGTTTTCAGCAGTTTGCTGGGTATTTTCGATCAACCTTACTACCATGTCTCTCATAAGCAATGCATACACTTTCAGAACCAGGTCCACCTTCATTCCACCGGCATTTTCGGAATTGCTCTTCAAAATATTCCTAAGATCTTTGACTGTGAGCCTCTGTATATCCTCCAGCGTCAAAATTTCCTTGTCTTTATATTTTAAAACCATTTTTAGCAAAGGTATAACAAATGATGCGAAACAGGTTAGTGAAACAGCTGTGATTTTGCTATGTTTGTATTTCCCGGGTCAACGTTAGCCTCGACATGATGTTTGCGCGGTTACTATTCCAAGATGGCGCCGGGAACTGTAAAAAGAAATATTATCACTGTTACTACACGAGGCCGCCGCCATCTTTGTTTTGCTGTCCACTCCAGCACTATGCCCAGGTCCCGCGCTCCAAACTAGTACCCAATTCCCTGCTCTTTTCTGCTCTGAAGAATTGCTGATGGCTACAGAGAATTTATCATCAGCCTTTGTGCAAACCAAATCTCCTGCCAATTGCAATGGTTAGAAAACCTACCCATCTGCCTTGGATTTGTTCTAGAAAAGGGCGAAGCGGTTGTTACCCGATCCCCATACACAACAGGCCAGCTTCAGGACCTTACAGATTGTTCCAAGGAGCCAGAAGTGAGAGTGTTTTCTGACTTTTGTCTAGTAATCTGCAAGTCTAGGGCCACTAGTCAATGCCTTACTTGCAGCAGGCTTTATAGTCTCAATAGATGGCATCAAAAATTAATTGCTAACAGGCAGGTCATTCCTCTCAAATGCAGCAAATGGTTCTTGTCTAGAGATGAACTGGTGGACCAAGTTGCTCAGGAACAAGTGAGAAGAAAACATGCAGAGGAGAGGGAGAGATATTGTTGAACAAATATCAAAGAAGCCCTGGTGGTCAATGAAGAGGACAATGCAGACCTTGATTCAATGTTCTGAATCACAAAAAAAGAAAATATTCCCAAAGAAATGGAATGCCTGTGGGAAAAACAGAAAAATAAAATATTCACACTACTGGTGAGAATAGTCACAAGTGGCATCCTAAGTAAGTTCCCTCTCCTCTTTACTTTTCATTACCCATTGCCTGAAACAAGGCCATAGTCAAAATACTGGTTATAAATTCAGCCCATTTTCAGCCACCTATCCTATTTCCTTGTATTCTCTACAAGAGAGTAAGTGGAGTTGCTGAAATTCATTCATCTATTTTTTTTTTCATTCCCCATTTCCTGAAGCAAGGCCACAGTCAAATAATGTCAATGAATCTTGCCCATTTTCAGCCACATATCTTATTTCCTTGTATTCACTAAAGGATAGTAAGTTAAGTTGCTGAAATTCATTCATCCTTTTACTCTCTTTGCAGAGTTATCAAGATCACATTATAGCCTCAGCAGTTAGCAGACAAGATGGCTGCCTATTTCTTCGCTCTTGAGGAAATTGTAGTCAATATGAGTATATTGCTCTATAGCATGTGATATATTGTATCTGTTTAATGTTGTGAGTATCTACCAGTATGCCGGCTACTAATTGCGACCAATTTACCAAAATTTTAGACAAGAAACTCAATCCATTTAACTCGACAATTTCTGAGTTAAAAAAATCAGTTAAAGAAGCAATGAGTTTTCTCGAATTTGTGAATGCGAAGTATGAAGAATTGCTAGAGATGATGAAGAGCTAAAAGGAGGAAAGAAAGGCTTTGAAAGAAGAGAATAAGATCTTGAAGGCAACAGTTCGCAGTATTGAAAGTTCACTGGAATCAGTTACGAGAGTGAACAATGATCTGGAGCAGTACACTCGCAAAGAGTGTGTAGAAATCCAAGCAATCCCCGTTGCTGCTACTTCATTAGAAGAGCAAACTAAAAATATTGTGACGAATGTCGGTAAACTACTGGGAATGGATATTACTCAAAATGACATTTCAGTAAGCCATCGAATGCCTCAAAGTCAAAAACACAAAGGCAAGCCTGGACCGCCAGCTATTATCGTCAAATTTACTAGGTGTGATGTCAAAGATAATTTCTACCATGCAAGGAAGCAGCTCAAGGACTTAACAATGCGAGATCTTGGATATTCCGAGAAAAATAAGATCTATCTTGCAGAGAGCCTGACAGAAAGGAATTGAATATTATTCAAAGATTGTTTGAAGGTAAAGAAGGATATGGAGTTCAAGTTCATTTGGACTTTACATGGAAAAATCTTCATGAGAAAAGACAAAGACTCTGCTGTTCACCATATTAATAACAAAGGGGATCTTCAGAAGATACAAACTAGATAAGTATTTATTTTCTGATCTTTAACGATTTGATGAATTGTTTAAAATGTGTAACTGACACTAGTGATATGGCCTGTGACTTGGCCAATTCACTTCCATCTTTAAGTATCAATTCTCCTAGTAACATTCCGCACCTCACTGATTTAGATGCTGACCTAAACATGCCTTTGGAAAACAATTTTTGTTTCTATAGTACTCATGATTTTCATAGTAATTATGACATCAACGAGTGTCTATTGAGTAGTCAATCTCTTTCTTTGATTAATTGTAATATTAGGAGCCTATCAGCTAATTATGATAAACTGTCAAACATGTTATCAGAGCTATATTTTCCCTTGTCATTAATTGGTCTTACTGAAATCAAACAGAAAACTGATCAGACTCCTATATCTAGCACTGATTTATGTGGATATCAGTATCTCTCCCAGCCAAGCCTTTCCAATGCTGGGGGAGTTGCTTTCTACATAAAAAAACAACTTAAATTTTAACATAAGACCTGAATTTACAATAACTGCTGATGATTTTGAAGCCTTATGGATTGAGGTACATAATAATTGTCATTCAAACTTACTCTGTGGAATAATCTACAGGCATCCAAATGGTGACTTAGAAAGATTTATTGAATATGTGAGCTCGACAGCTGATAGAATTAATCAAGAAAACAAAACTTGTATAATAATGGGAGACTTTAACATATATCTTTTGAAATTTGAATCACACTCAGCAACTGATGGTTTCCTTAACACTCTGGGTTCTAATTTTTTTCAGCCCTATATAATGCAACCAACAAGAATCACAAATCATTCGGCAACTTTAATTGATAATATTTTTTTCAATTCAATTGAGCATTTTACAATCAGTGGTAATACAGTCAACTCCCGTTATAGCGGACACCCTTGGGACTGCGATTTGGTGTCCGTAATAGCGAGAGTCCGTAATAGCGGGGTGCGAGAAAATTTTTATTTTAAACCATATTTACAGAAGGGGGTCACATGTGTGTTCATTTTCATTAACTCCAGTACCTTTTTCAGACCCATTGTCGCAAGTAAAGAGCGTCAAGCGCTTCGCAGAAGGGATTCTTTACTACGTAAAGCAAGGCAAAGTCGTTGTGTCACGGATTGGAACTGCTTCAAAATCGCGAGGAATAAAGTTGTAAACATGATTCGCAGTGCGAAATATAAATACTATAATACCTGTTTCAACAACAACAAGGGAAACTCTAAAAAGATGTGGAAAACCATAAAATCACTAATGGGCGATGTATCAAAATCAGTTGAGACGCCAAATGTTGTTTTGGCCGAAAAGTTTAATGATCACTTCACTTCAATTGCTGATTCACTGAGGAATCTACTACCTAATGTACCTTATTGCAATTCAAAGGTTGAAAACTTTGTTTGTTCAAGAAAAGATCCGGATGTTCTTTTCAATATTCCTCCTGTTACCAAAGATTTTGTGCTGGGTGCTCTGTTAGGACTTAAAACAAACAAAGCTATGGGTATTGACAAGATAAGTGCAAGATATCTGAAAATAGCAGGACCAGCTATTGCTTATTCAATTACTCAAATCTTGAATATTTCAATTAATTCTGGTGTATTCCCTGATTGTTGGAAGATAGCGAAAGTCATTCCGTTGTTTAAATCTGGGGACCGTGAGGATCCTGACAATTATCGACCCATTTCGATATTACCTGTTTTGTCAAAGATTCTGGAACGTCATATACACGATCATCTCTATAATTACTTATGTGAAAACAATCTATTGTACCCTTTACAGTCAGGTTTTCGGAAACACCATGGAACAGACACTGCTCTTATACGAGTCATAGACAATTTGTTATTTAATCTAGACAATGATCAAGTCAGCGGTCTTCTTTTAGTTGATTACAGGAAAGCTTTTGATATGGTTGACCGTGAAATTCTTTTGCAAAAGCTGAATGCCTATGGTTTAACTCCAGTTGCAAGTAAATGGTTTAGTTCATACTTGACTGATAGACATCAATTTATTGCTATTGATAATGTGACATCTGACTCTACTCTTGTGAGGCATGGTGTTCCACAGGGTAGTATCCTTGGCCCT